CTTGCTGATGTGGTTGGCAGCCAGAATGCACTGATAAGATACTTCTTGGGAAAATGGAAATAAAAGAAAAATTTTTGCCAGAAAGCTACAAATGGCATTAGACATTATTCAGGGGGTAAGCAACAACAAGCCAAGTCAAGACTAATTATAACATATGCGAAAAAAAAAGAATGGGTGTGGAAGCTTTTGACGTATTCATGACATCCTTTTGGTTTTCCAGAGCGACATTTTTTTCTGGTGTCCTAGGGAATAAAAAATTCGTTGAGTGTGTCAGCCATAAGTGTTTCTCCGTTTATCAGCCGGAGACGGAGGCAGAAAAACGAGCAAAAAAGTGTGGAAGCAAAGACACCTGCGCACTCGGGAATGGAAAAATAGAGGGAGAAGAAAGGCTTACTGGTTGCGTCTAATTGAGAAAGCACTTGTCGACTTTTTGTTGCTTTTTGAAAAAGAGTGTGCGCAGAAGAGACAAAGAGGACATCCAGGGCTTTTAGGAAAGAGAGTGTTGAAACGATGTTATCAGCAAAGAAATCGATATAGTGATACAGGGCGTTGCGCGCGCAGTAGCGAACTTCGACGAGAGAGGGCGTTTCTCGAACGGACAGCTGCTGTTTTGTACAAAAAAATGTGTTGCAACAGGCAAAAAATCGTGATGATTGAGGGAGAAAGAAAACAATATCGAACAAAAACGAACAAAAACTTTTTTTTGAAAGTCTACAGTATGAAAAGGCGCATCATGAAATTAATAGTGAGGGCACCAACACGAAAAGAGTACAGTAGTTATTTGTTTTTTTGCAAACTCGCTGAATTTCGCTGGGATGATCGAAAGCCCTTTTCGGAATTTATCGGAATGTCGATAATTTCAATATCAAAATTTTCGGAATTCCAGATTTCCGTTTTCACATAAAAAATCGCGAAAAAAGCGTAAAAAATTACCAAATGTAATTCCGCTCGAAACCCGCAAGTAAATTTTTCGCGTGCGTCTTAGACATACTGTAGTTCAAAAAATTTGAAAATATTCCGAAAAAAGCATCAAAAATAAAAAAAAACATTCCGATCGGGTTTTCGTGCCAAATTTTCTCGAAATTTTCGGAACTCCGTAGATATAGAAAACTAGGAGCCTTACAAAAGCTAGTGTCTAGCAAGTAGCGAACCACCGTTTCGTTTTATGCAACTCTGACGCATTTCTGTCATAAGCGGGCGGCGCCAGATCCTCAAAGGACACAGAAATCTTTTGACGGCTACCGCGCCTGATCTTAAAGTTTAATTAAAACTTGCGGCATGCAGCCTGAACACACATATTTATATTACCGCATTGTGGAAGCAACAGAAAAATGAGAAATACAGTTTGATAGTTGGGGTGGTCTATCTGATATTTTGATATCAGTGAGTGACAAATCAGTCGCCTCTGCGTCTCTTTGTCTCACCTTGACACCATCCGACCATCCATCATTATATTACCGTAATATTTATTTATCCTCGGGAGAGGGACAAGAAAATCGAGGCAAGAGATTAGGAAAACAGATAAAGTGGCGAGACAGACACCACCAACTATCCTGTATATACTCCATTATCAGATGAGACCAGGAGGAATAGGAAAGACCACCATAAGTTTACAACCACGATTACTGCCTCTTATAATTATACCTCCGAGGAATAGTTATTGCGTTACCGCACAAAATTTATTGAAGGTGATCGGAAGGACTTGTATTTATGTATGTTTATATTGCGACCAACTATATATTTATCCAGAANATAGGGCCCACAGAAATACGGCAATCCTATAGAATTATCTTTCTGACGGTAACTTCGTCTTTTAAAATGTACTAAAATTTACAGTAAGAATTTTGCTTCTCGAGCTGAAAATGTTGTGATTGTATTCTTACTACTGTGAGAAGAACGGAAACTGAAAATATTAGTCATCGTGAGACTAGAAATATGTGTTTCCCTATTCTTCTAGACTAACAAAGGACTTGTGGCTACTACAGAGTCTCATAATGAATACATTGGAACATGAACAAAAAGAGGACAGTACATTTCATTGTGAGAGCAGTATGTGTCAGAATGAAGTATTACTTATCAGGAGACCATCGATAAATCAATGGTCCTCTCCTCCTGATAAGTTTCGTTGGAATAGTCTACCTGTCTTCGAAGGAAGAAGGAAGGTGGTCTCCTTGACAAAAATGTGAACTTGGCTTTGTTTATCCACAAACAAACAGCAGCCGCTAAAGAAATTTGAATAAGCGAGGAGGGGAAAAAATAAATTGGGTAGAAGAAGAAGATGGCGCGGTGGTGCATTCGAATTTTTCATGTTTATTCAAGTTCAAAGAACAAAAAGAAAGGCGAAAACGAAAACTGACGGGCGATAAACTCCTTAAATTTCTAGAACCGTTTCTTCTCTAAAGCCTTCACCACGACTGGGTGACGAATTTTAGGTACCAGAAATGAAGAGATATGGATGATGATGATGGTGGTTAATAAAATAAAATAGAGGAAAAAGGAATAACAAGATCAAGAGAAAAGAAAATAAAAAAAGATGTTCAGCATAAAAATGTGAATAGAGGCAGTGAAGTTCTTCTAACAAAAGAAGAACGCCGGCTTGTAAAAAAAAAATACGAAGTGTTGTAGATTATGCCATTTCTATGGCTTCCAACTCCACGATGTTCGATGGATCCATTCGAGCGATCTTCATTTCTGAAACAGTTACTCTGTGAATTAGGCGAGTACACTTAATCTTACGGAAATGATTCTCGAGCACATTGATCATGTTCATCGAGTCTTCCGAGTCGATCAAATTGATGGCGATTCCAGTCTTTCCGAATCGTCCAGTTCTTCCGATACGGTGAAGATAAGTTTCACAATCAGGTTGTGTGAAGCCGTCAATGACCATTGGACTATCATGCTCGTTGTACTTGATCGGTAGGTCGTAATTAATCACAACGGACACCTGCGCAACGTCAATTCCACGAGCGAATACATTCGTCGTGATGAGCACTTTGAAGTCGCCGCGTTTGAATCGAATGATTGTATCAGCTCGCTCGACGACACTCATATCTCCATGGAGCACATCAACCTTGTGGCCACGTGCCTTCATGTTCTCGTACAACCACATAACACTGGCCTTCGTGTGACAGAAAATGACGGATGAGGCGACAGCCAGTCCACTGTACAGATTAACGATGGCCTGTAAATTACAAATCGTTTCTTGGAAAAGTGTCAGGTTATTGGTTACCGCATATTTTGAATCTCTGCAAGCACATTGAACAAAAAACTGTTTTATGTTAGGCAAAGCTTGCTCCTCGCGTTTCAACCTGAAAGTTTGTACAAGGTTTACTATGCAGACAATAGTACTTCAAAAGGAATCGGCCCACCTACCGCGAAATAAAATACTAGAACCTTATAACACAAACAAAGAAAAATGTATTCGCTGGCCATTTAAACACCAGGGAAACTTACATGACAACAATGGCATTCTTGATGATTTTTGTGGCGAAATTGATAACAGGTTCATCATATGTAGCAGAGAATAGCATGGATTGAACTGAATCGGAGGCTTCTTCGACCATGCTGAAAATGTTGATGTTTTGCAGGAAAAAAACCATTTTGAATGTACTTGTAGATAGTTGTGGAGATATCAGTGAATCCTTGATGATAAATCATGACATCAGCTTCGTCCAGAACCAAGCATCTGATCTGACTTGGATCGATGCATTTGTACTTTTGCAAATAATCACGAGTCTATAAAAATACATATTCAAAGGGATATCAGATAAACTCGCTCACGATTCCTGGAGTTCCAATGACAATCTGTTCTGTCAGCTTCCTCCCTCTCATCGCGGCCATATTTCCTCCTTTAATCGCGTAATGGATTTTCAGATTCTCCATATATCTTCCCATCTTTTCAACAACCTCTCCGATCTGTTTAGCCAACTCAAGTGTAGGTGCCAAGCAGATACACTGTGGGCACTTTAAATTTATGTCAATTCTACAGAGCATCGTGAGCACGAATGCAGCAGTCTTTCCAGTACCCGACTGAGCTTGTGCGATCAAGTTTGATGGTCTAAAATTTATTATTAGTTGTTTTTTTTAAACAATAACAACTAACGGTTCCATAAGAAGCAACGGCAAAGCAGTCTCCTGGATTCTTGTTGGGAATTGAAAATTGAGACTGTCAAGAGCCTGAAGGACTTCCGGCTTGAGACGAAGTTCCCGGAATGATGAAATCGAATAGAGTGGTGACTTTGGATCTTGACGTTGTACATCAACCACTGTATCTTTCATCATTTTGACTTCTTTTTGAATGAATTTATTGAGAAGTGCAATATCTGCAGGAACAGGAACTTTTTCATGAGGGTCCGTGTCAGTTGACTTCGTGTACTTGTACTTCGGATCCTGAATCAAATTTGAATTATTTCTTTGACTATAAATTTCGAAAACCAACCGGTTTAACTGCTTGCTGTCCAACTGCAAATTGTGGAGGTCCTGTTCTTTGTTGAGGTACGAAAGATGGGTTCGGTTGACCTCTGCCTCGTCCCATTTCTGGAAGCATTCTTTTATCAAAAAAAAACGTTAATCCAGCAAAATCTAAGCCACTAGTACAACATTATTCCCTCTCGATGTCTGATACTTACGTCCTTGACCGGGTCCACCAAAATCCATTTGTCCTCCTCCGCGTCCTCCTCTGTAATCACCAATGATAATTTTTACAATGTTTTATTCAACGGTTACCTGAATCCCCCTTGAAAACCTCCTCTCATTGCTGGTGGCGGACCTGACATGAATGGTGCTGGAATAATGATTTATAGAATTTCCCATAATTCTGAGTTTAGAGGTGAAGGGGGAGTGCATTTGGAGACAGTTAAGTGAATCATGCAAAACAAAGGTCAAGTTAAATTAAGCATTCCAGAAACCCACCAAACTTCTAAAATAAAAATCTGGAATTAATTTTTGAAAAGGTAATCATGGCCCTGAACAAACCGTTTGGACTCTCTTTTTCGGTGGGTTCCATGCCAGTCGGCGTGCTGTCAGGCATGGTGGATTTTCTTCCGAAACTTCCCTCGATTGGCCTACTTGGATTGGCTTCAATAGCTGATGACATGCTCTCTGATTTTTCGTTCTCCTTGATCTGTGGTGCTACCTGGTTCTCCTCTTCATTGCTTGACTTGAAAAATACTGGTGCTGGACGTCCGAATTGTGGACTATTCGCATCTTGCGATGGTTGTCTACCAACGCTACATTCAATGGCTTTTCTCTCTTCCATCACTTCAGGTACTCTCGAACCAAAGGAACTGTTTCCCATTGAACGAGGCTCAGAATTGTTTTCTTTGTCTTGATGGGAAACTTGTAGTTGGGCAGTAGCATCATTTTCTATTTTACCGTTCATATATGTTGGTGGAGGAACGTTCATTGGTGGAAGAATGGCGGTAGGTTTTTTACCAAATGCCCCACCAACTGAGGGTTTTGAACTCGATTTGGAAGCACCGAATGCTCCGCCGACTGAAGGTTTCGGAGCATTATCAGAAAGAGGATTTGCTCCGAATCCACCTCCTGTTCTTTCAGCGGGTTGTTTCACGTCATCAACTGTTTTGAGCTCAGTCGTCGAATCAATAACTGGGACAGATGGATTAGCTCCGTAAGCTCCACTACCTGTCATTGATTGATATTTAGTAGAACCGAAACTTCCTCCAGCTGTTGTAGGTGGCTTTAAAGATGATCCGGAACTAGCTTCCGTTGTTGTTGGTGCTCTATTTGAAGAACCGAAACCACCTCCAACTGTTGTAGCCGATTTGGTAGAGGAACCAAATCCTCCACCAGTTGTTCCAGGAGGTTTTAAAAGGATCCGAAGCTTCCGCCCGTTTTTACTGGAGGTCTAGAAGTTGAATTGATACTTTCTCCAGGAATTATGGAAGAATTGGAATTGGATCCTAAACTTCCTCCAGTTGTTGCATGAGAGTTGATTATTGAACCGAAGTTTCCGCCAGTTGAAACTTGAGGTTTGGCTGCCGAGCCGAAGCTTCCACCTGCTGGAGGTTTTGAAGAAGGCCCTAAACCACCACCAAAAGATTTTGATGGTGCACTGTTTTCCGTTTTTGTTGTGCTAAATGAAAATGCTGGTGTTGGAGTGCTTTGAGAAGGATTAGATGATTTAGATCCAAACGCTCCTCCAACAGACGTGCGGCTGATGGAGGCTTGAGACGCCCCGAACCGTCCTCCGTTAACTTTCGGTTGATCAGCAGATTCGTTAGAGTTGAACGATCTAGGGGACAAAACACCGAAACGACCTCCTTCATGATTAGTTTTGATGATAGTCGGTGCAGACGGTGCAGTGCTGCGGTTAGTACCAAAACCACCACCTCTAGTGAAATCGCATGCAGACTTTTCCTTGCGGTAGCCGACAGATATTATGTTACCTCCTCCATTGAGCTCTTCAGATGAACCAATCGCCGCACCTCTGCCGTCCGGACCTCCTGGATTTCCGAATGAACCTAAAATAGCGATAGGATTCCAATAGGAAAAGGGGAAAGATTGAAACATAAGGCAGACGACACTCGAAATTTAAGCGGTTGGGATTTTTTGTTACCTCCAACTCTAGTTCCTGAAGTGGCGCCAAACGAAGTCTGTGGTGGTGGCGCGTTCATTTTGAGTCCTCCACCGAACATTCCTCCTCGACCGACGCCGCCAAATCCTGGAAGACGTTACTGTGAAAATGTGTTATTATGAGTCTTGAAATTTATTTGCATTTCCAGATAGATATTTAGATAGAGCGTTAAAGTGCACAAAAGCTCTTCTTTCATAAATATTTGACCGGTATGAAAATCTATGGTTAACTATGTACCTTTATTTTCTTCATTTTGATCCATATCCGAGTTTGACTGTAACTTCTCGGTCTGAAAAAAATTCGATTATTGTTCATTTAAGTGCAGATGTGCTTGATAGAGCAGCTCGCTTTCACGCACAGAGGCACAGAGAAGTGCATAAATAGCAGTTAAAACAGTAGCAAAAAGCAAATTGTACAATGCGGAGAGAAAAGCCGAAACTCGGAACATGAACGAACAACAGACGGACAAACACAGCACAGAACACATAGACACAAACAAATCCCACCACCTTTTCCGGCACTTCAAGGGCTTCCGATCGACACTGCTCATCGAATGCATTACCCCAATCGCTCATTTTTGATCTGTTACAAAAGTTTAAGTTATTGATTTGTTAGTCGAGGAAGTATTATTGTAAGGATGGACACATAATATTAGAAATCTGATGAAGGATTGAGAGATCGAGATGAAAAGATAGAATGCGGGGAGTAGTCTTCATCAATGAAAAAAAGAGAATATTAGAAAAAGTAAACAAAACTTATGATATTTTGCAAGAGAGGAAACTTGCTAGACACTTTTAGACACCTTTTATAGTATCATAGATTTGATAGCGAGTACAAACACATTCTTGGCGAACTGTGTGTGTCGAGAAAAGTTCGAAGTATATATTTTTAACCAAAATTATCAATACATATGTTCCACGACTGCAAAAATAACTCTTCTGAAAGAAAAATTAAGAAAAGATAACATTTTGATTATTTCAGGCTCTGTCCTCGCGGAATTTCGAAAACAACTACGGTCGACAATGCACCAGATGGCGTTGAACCATTTACACCAAACCTTACGACACTTTGGATTTTCAAGCAGCACTTTTTTGAAATTTTGTTGAATTTTTTTTTGAGTTTGCCCTCCGTCTTCACGAAAGACTGTTAAGACACTATTTACTAAATAAAATTAACGGACTTTTAGGCTACAAGCGATCTATTTTTTGCTTGGAACATCTTCGTATAACATTGCTAAATACAGTAATATCTCAGGGTGGTCGTCGAAACAATGATTTTTCTATTTTTCAGAAAATGCTTGTGAATATCAACTCCGGAATGGCTATGAAAACTACAACAACGCCACACGATCCCGCAAAAGAACTCCGAGATCGAACCACAGAAATTATGTATCTTTCGGCAAAGTGAGCTTTTTGAAAATTTTCGAAGATACAACAAACCGTAATGGGGTTATTCACCAAAATGTAGAAAAATTCGGAAAATTGAGAAAATTTCGCAAAACCGCGGAAAATGAACCAATCTCGCTGAAATTTCAGAGAAAATCGGAGAAAATTATAGAGAGCATTCACAAAATTTGGGGTCAAAATATCTACTTTGACCATTTTGCCTGGCATTCCAGCCAACATTTCAAAATTAATTTTGCGACCCCAAATTTTGTGAATATGCTCTCAATAATTTTCTCCGATTTTCTCCGAAATTTAGCTAGATTGGTTCATTCTCCGCGGAAATCGCGACATTAAAAATAATTCTCTCCATTTCTCCGAATTTTTCTACATGTTGGTGAATAACCCCATAATTCGAAGATTTTCAGGTTAAACCATGCGAAGGAAACATGTGTGAGCTTGGACAACGAAAGGCAGAAGTATCGGGAAGTGACACGCCAAATCAAAGAGGTTCGAGCATACTTGTAACGGGCCGGGCCGGACCGGGCATTTTCCCGAATTTCGGAGGCCCGGCCCGGCCCGTCGGGCCTGTCATTCCACAAGTTTTGAAAATTTCAAAAAACACATAAGGGGGGACCCTTATGTGATTTTTTTCGAGTTTTTTTAAAGGTGGGGGGACAGGAGATTTTACGGGGGATTTTTGGGGCCAGAGTATGCATTCTACCGTGACGGTGTACAACGCTTAATGTCACTCTGCGTACAGCTGTCGTCCTCGCCTTTATGTATGCAATCGGGCGACCGCTTTTTCTTTGCCCGTGTAGCTCAGTCGGTAGCGGCACCGCACCCTCAATCCTCGCCCCAACAAGTTCAACTTTTCGAGGGGCATATTTAAACGAAATTTCGAGAACATTATTTTTTATCATGTCCCCCCACCTTTAAATATATTTTTTGATCAAACAGACAAACAATCCAAAAAGCACAAAAAATATAGAAAATTGTATTGAGAGCTCAAAATTCGGTTCAAAATGGCAAATTTTTGCTACCGGGCCTTCCGGGCCGGGCCCGGGCCTTGAAATTTTCCTCAGAACCGGCCCGGCCCGGAATTTTACAAGTATGGGTTCGAGAGAGTTTTCTGGCTCTAGAATGAATTTACTGTTGTAGAAAGATATCGATCCAGTTTGGGTATTCAATGGTACATGCTTCTTACAAACTAGCCAAGCAAATAGTTTGAAGATATTGGAACAAGACACCAAAACAGTTGAGGATTTCCGAGGAACGGTGGAAAAAGTTATCAAGGTAACTTTATTGTGGGATACCCGAATTGACGACAATGTTTCCAGCAAGACACGGACACCTTCTTGAAACTTCATAAGCAACGAAGTTTAGAGCAACGAGGATTTGATCTGAAGCCTCTTCTGAGAGACGGAAAGCTCACCGATTGAATTATTTCATTGTATATTTTAAAATAAAGCTTAATATATACCATCGAATTCAATTATTTTCTGTCATCGTATTTATGTCTCGATTCAACTTTACTTTATCTTTTATCAACCGTTTTCGAATATAATTAGTATATTTCGCAGATGTCTAAAGATATCAAAGAGTTTCTGTATGCCTGGTTAGGTAAAAACAAACACCCAAATCCTGTTTACGACACGAAGGCTGAAACAAGAGGCGGTCGCCAACAATTCAAGTGTGAGCTTCGCGTTACGAGCTTCCCGTATGTCGCGTTTGGAAACTCCAGTAATAAGAAGGTTTCAAACGAAAAGTGATAGTTGTCTAAAATTATTATTCCAGGATGCTGCTACCAATGCTGCACGCGATTTCTGCCTTTTCTTGGTTCGAGAAGGAGAAATGAAAGAAAGCGAAATACCAACTCTAACAACAAAGTGTTTGGAAACCTCGTCCACTTGGCAAGACACAAGCGCTTCTGAACCTGCGACAATGTTTTGTGGAGGAGAAGACGGCAACTCTTACCAAGAGCCACAAGCTCAGCCTAAAAAGCCGAGATATCCATGGAGCAATGCTTATCAGAGAGAAGAAGGAACCCACGAGGAGTACGTTACACAGAAAGCTGAAGAAATTGCCGCGTCTGAAACTGTTGATCACAAGTCAAGCTTCCATGGAGGGTGGACTATGGAAAACTCAAAGAAGGCTTTAAATGAGTACACTCAAAAGATGAGACTTCCCCAAATCAACTATGTCACAAAAATCAAAGAATCCAACACTGTCAAGTTAGTAGTTTTTATCACTTTATCGCTTGTAGCATAATCACAATTTCAGAACGATGGAGACAACCGCTCAACTTTACGTACCTCAACTCAACAAAGGTAATTTTAATGTCGCGATTTCTTCATACTCTGCGTTTTCCTATTGCAGGGCTGACTGGAAAAGGCAATGGATCGAACAAAAAGGTTTCGGAGGCGGCGTGTGCCATGAACATAGTCCGCCAAATGTTCCATCTGAATATCATGCAAGCGTACAGTGGACCGACTAAAAAGAACAAAGTTAGTACACTGCCCGAGATTGATGTCAATCTACCAGAAGAGCTGTCGACTCGTGTAATCGAGTATGTGAAATCCAGTGGTCTCGAGCTTCCTGTAGTTGACGAATCTGTGTCCTCATCTGAATCTCCGTCTACCCTTCTTACTGACGCCAAACTGGCCCAGTTCCCGAACTCCGAAGCTTGCACTGGTTCCAACATCTCTTGGGCGCCGCCACTTCAAAACTGGAATCCATGGAGAGCGGCCAATATTGATGAGCCGCCTCTTGCTTTCGTGAGCTAAAATTACCCTCAGATCAATTTTCCATTATTTGAATTCAGATGAGCATGGAACAAATCAGTCAACGGATTACAGAAAAGGAGGAAGCCAAACAAACAGGCTCACTGGACAGTGTCAATGACCAACGGAAGGGACTTCCAGTTGCTCAGTTTAAGGATCAAATTATTCAAACGGTCGCCAACAATCGTGTTACATTGATCAAAGGAGAAACTGGATGTGGAAAAAGTACTCAAGTGGCACAGTTTCTTCTCGAAAGCTTCATTGAAACGAACAAAGCTGCTTATTTCAATGCTGTTGTATCCCAACCACGTCGTATTTCTGCAATATCTCTCGCTGAACGCGTTGCGAATGAACGAGGAGAAGATGTTGGAGAAACTTGTGGATATAATGTTCGATTCGACAGTGCTACTCCACGTCCCTATGGATCAATCATGTTTTGTACTGTCGGAGTGTTGCTTCGGATGATGGAAAACGGATTGCGTGGAATCTCTCATGTAATCATTGATGAGATTCACGAGAGAGATGTTGATGTATGTCTCTAGTATCTAAAAATCGTGTTATGTTTTTCTGATTTTCAGACTGACTTCGTTTTAATTGTTCTTCGAGATATGATCAACACCTACAAAGATCTCCGTGTTGTTCTCATGTCAGCCACCATTGACACCAATTTGTTCACAAATTTCTTCGGAAGTGCCCCTGATATCGGACCGACGCCAGTGATCACAATGCACGGAAGAACTTTCCCGGTTCAAGGTTAGACTTCAAATAATACTCATGCAATTCTATTCACTGTTTCAGCCTTTTTCCTGGAAGACATCCTCCATAATCTTCGGTATATGCCTGACGAGCTTGAGCAAAGAAAACGGAAGAAAGGACCCGCAGCACCAGTGGATGATGACGATGGAGATGAGGAAGTTGATGATAAAGGTCGAAATATGAATTTGTTGAATGATCCATCTGCCAACGAAAATTTGAAAACTGCCATGTCTCGTATTTCGGAGAAAGATATTCCGTACGGAGTCATTGAAGCCATTCTCACAGACATTGCTTCTCGTGGAGTGGATGGAGCTGTTCTGATCTTTCTTCCTGGCTGGTCCGAAATCATGACACTCTGTAATCGTCTTCAAGAACATGAAGAGTTCGGTTTGTGCTTTAGTTTTTGACCTAACTTATTTAAAGTATACAGGACAAGCTAACAAGTACGAAGTGCTTCCTCTTCATTCACAGTTGACGAGTCAGGAACAGAGGAAAGTATTCAATCATTATCCCGGAAAACGGAAAATCATAATTTCCACGAACATCGCGGAAACCAGTATCACTATCGATGATGTGGTCTATGTTATCGACTCTTGCAAGTGAGAAAACTATTTTTGAGATGACTTTTCATTGGTAAAAACTTTTCCAGAGCCAAGGAGAGAATGTACACCTCAAACAATAACATGGTTCATTTTGCAACAGTCTGGGCATCGAGAACCAATGTCATCCAAAGAAGAGGCCGTGCTGGACGAGTTCGACCTGGATATGCTTTTCACCTATGCAGCCAGATGAGGTATAATTCTCTTGAAGAGCACGGAACTGCTGAAATGCTTCGTATTCCTCTCCACCAAATTGCATTAACTATCAAACTCCTTCGTTTGGGTTCGGTTGGAGAGTTCCTTGGAAAAGCTTTAGAGCCACCGCCATACGATATGGTCGTTGAAAGTGAAGCTATTCTGCAAGCAATGGGCGCTCTGGATCGAAACCTCGAACTTACCAGTCTTGGAAAAATGTTAGCTCGAATGCCAATCGAACCAGTTATCGGTAAAGTGCTCATTCTTGGAACTGCTCTCGGACTTGGTTCTGTTATGTGTGATGTGGCAGCAGCGATGTCTTTTCCAACTCCATTCGTTCCTCGCGAGAAGCACCATAGTCGATTGAGCGGAGTTCAAAGGAGATTCGCTGGTACGAAATTCTCCGATCATGTGTCACTGGTTTCCGTTTTCCAAAGCTATCGTGAAGCGGCTGAGATGGGAGCTGCAGCGGGAGAACGCGAATTTTGTGAACGAAATTCGCTGAGCAATCCAGTTCTGAAAATGACAGAGTAAGTTTTAAACCAGCAATCAAGCGATAGTCATCGAATATATTTCAGAGGTGCAAGAAGGCAACTAATAGATGTTCTTCGCAATCAGTGTTCCTTCCCTGAAGACATACTGTATGATCACCAAGTCAATGTGATGGCTCAAGATCGAGAACTAAACCTCATGAGATCTCTTCTCGTTATGGCTCTCTATCCAAACGTCGCCTACTATACCGGAAAACGAAATGTCCTGACAATCGAGCAATCTAAAGCTCTGATTAATAAATACTCTAATCTCGTTCCGATGGCCAACCGACAAGAATTGGATTTCCCAAGTCCTCTCATAGTTTTCACCGAAAAAGTTCGTACTCGGTGCATTTCTTGCAAGGGAATTTCAGTTATCACTGCAATACAGTTGCTTGTCTTCGGTAGCCGCAAAGTTGAGTGTATTGGCGAAGGACTCATTCGACTCGATGATATGTAAGTTTCTAGAAAAAATTGATTTTTTTAAGACATCATTGTTCAGGATAACAATTCGTATGGATGTGGCTACTGCTGTCGCTCTTGCTAATCTTCGTCCGTGCATAGAAGCTCTTCTTGTAAGATCATGCGAGAATCCAGAAACACTAGCAGTGATGAACGGCGGAGACGCGGAACTCCGTCAGCTACTTCGTGACATATCTTCCGATGACTTTATGTCACAAGCAGGTCCACTCAAAGACAGTCTGCTCACGGATACTGCTGTAAGTTCTAGAATTCACTTTGCCTTTGATAGTTATTTGTTTCCAGCTAATTCAAAAAGCGCCCGCACAACAGAACAACCAAAACAACTCGTATTCGGACTGGGGATCTAGCTATTCAAACAGTGAGGGATTGACAACCATGAAACTAACCAGCTTATTATTTTTCAGATTCTTCATTCCAGTCTGAATCAGGATATCAAAGCTACTCAGCATCAGGTAATGCTTAGCTTAAATTAGCATGACTTCCACTATCCCGCACTGTTGTCCCGCACGTTGTCTCAGATTATCGCTAGCTCCCACGTCCGTCGCATGCACTTTTTCATATTTTGACAAAAACAACAATATATTCAGCTGCCGGGGGTAAGGCGAAGCACTCTTTCCGCGGTAACAGACGCGGCAGTCCTTACTATGCTCAAAATCGACCCCACCCTCCTCCCCATTCTGGAATGGGCTATCAACAGTTCAACAACTCAGGTTATGGTGGTGCCGCTGGTGGCGATTGGCCAAGAAGCCCATCTGGTGCTCCAAACAGCTACGGATCGGGAGGATTCAGAGGAAGACGCGGTGGTGGTGGTGGAAGAGGTCGTGGTGGTGGCAATCGTGGATGGAACGCATCACAATGGTGAACTCAATATCTCCCTTTTCCATGTACCGTAAAACCTCTAATAGAACGACACCCGGATCGTCCACTTTGAGCCTATATATCTCATTTTCTGTGAAAGATATCAAAAAGTGGGAGATATGAGAGAGTCGGAGGAGGTGAGAGAGTGGACGCAGACAGTTAGAGAAACAAGAGAAAATTGAAGCAGACAGTTAGAACCATAAGAGAGATTTGAAGCAGACAGTTAGAGAAATTTCAAACAAGACAGTGGACGCAGAAAGTTCGAAAAATGACAAAGAATGGACGCAGACGACAGTTAGACAAACATGAGAAAATTGAAGCAGACAGTTAGAACCACAAGAGTGATTTAAAGCAGACAGTTAGAAAAATTTCAAACGAGAAAGTTCAGAAAACGACGGAGATTGGACGCAGACAGTTGGACGTTCAAATTATGGACCAAAA